TTGGTTCGCGCTTCCTAGCCTGAAAACATTTTTGGTCTGGTCTGTGGAACCAGGCTTCACCCTGATATAAATTGGCGAAAAATGTTTCGCGCTGCGAAACGCGAAAAAAACCACCCTCTGTCCCAGTCAACCACACCCGGGCATTCTCTGGCTAAGGCTGGTGCCAGAGTCCGCGATTTGTCGCGCGATTCACGCGACGAATAACGACACTTGCAATTAGAAAAAGGAGATGTTTTCCGAGGTTGTGCGTTGCCTCCAAAATGTCCCCTCTTTTGATAGCGCACAAATTTGTTCTCCCATACCAACTGGCAGTCACCCGATGAGAATACGGTTGATATATCCCACCTCTAGTAGCAAATATGCGAACGAAATAGTGAAGCTACTCAACCCGACTTGACGGAACTGGTACTACATTGATACCGTCACCCTTAAAAATCGATGGACAATCAGCATACTTTCATGAAGGTGAAATTACTAGACTATCAATCAAACAAATGAGTGGCGGTATCGTGTCTTGAGCGTAAAACCAGGTATGGATTACGGTAGCTGCACGTGGTGTGCAATTACACCAGCCGCCGTAGGTATTTTTACATAACGTCATAGCTTTCAGTGAAAAGCCTTACCGGATCGATACCGCACTGGGTGGCGAGCGCAGATGACGTGCAGTCTTCTCGTTCGTTGTGGCGCTGGGTACTCTCCAACTATGGGGAGATCTTCGCGTTCAACCCCCCCCCCCTCTCCGTGAGATCATCATACCGTGCGATTACACACAAACTCGCTCCGATCACGATTGCGTGGCAGTCATCCTTTCACGCTCCGCTTTTTTTTGCGGTGGGGTTTTTCCAGCAGACAAATTCTCCGCTGTTGCCTTGTCGGGGCCCGTTCTGTGTCATCGAACCGGCTGTTCCGGCTTCTTCTATCGATCTACTGGTTGAGTCATATTGCTTTCGTAGCTCTTCAATTCGCTGACTGATTCGTTTAATTCTACGTTTTCTCTTGATTTCTACGCTTCCACTAGAAACATCTCTCGTTTCTCCATTTCACATTACAGCATATAGAATTCGTTTCAGAAGCCATTATCATACGTGTTTTGTTTCTTGTTCTCTTTTTTTTCACCGTGATTTCGTTATCAAAGTCAAAGTTCAGTTTTCCGCCGTTGGTCGCCCATTTCTTGGTTGTATAGAGGTTTTTTTAAGAAGCAGTTTCCGTTATTCCATAATTTCGAAACTTAGCTCAAATTGCTTTGCTACTAAGGGTTCTGAGATTCAGTCACTAGGCCTCTTCACTGATAAATTCCTTTAACACGGTGACGACAGCATGACGCTCATGTGCGCGTCAGGATTTCGACCGGTTCTGGTAGTTTTTTTCTATTATTTGGCGATTTTAATCTCAAACACAACCGTGCATCAAGTAAATTAGTAGTTGGAATTATTGGTAGAGTTTAATAAGGATGTGAACAAGAACCAAAAGAGTGGCGAGGTTCACGTAAAGGGGATGTTTCAACGTGTTTAATAGATCGCTTTGTGTATTATTACAATGAACGCGGTAACGTATGGTAAAGAATACGAAGGTGCTAACTTAGTTGGGGGGGCGGCGGCGCGGCAGTCTGCTCGCCTGGCATGTTCGGAAATCCGTGGGCCAGGGGGAGTGTAGCCAGCCTAGGGGGTTGGGGGGGGGGGCAGTCACTTGACATGCGTGAAAAGCTGGAATGTTCGAGTTTACACTGTCTCGCTCGAGAGGGCCCAGGTGAGCAGACTGCCGCGCCGCCGCGTGCCCCCCCCCCAACTAAGTTAGCACCCACCGCGACTACTAATCATGTCTTTCCATCATCTTTTTGAAACCTCTATGGTATGAGCGGTTCCTTCCTATTCCAGTTATTAGTCGAAAGAGTGCCATGGATGCTGAGACGTGATTAGACTTAGACTAGATTTAGCCTTACGAGTTCACCACTTATCAGATGTGCCTCTATTACGGGAGGATACCGGGGTATGCTATTTGTTCGTGCATTTGTGACCACGTCTTCCCGAACCAGTGATTGCTTTATTGCTCTTCAAGATCGGGAAAGGGCGCTCAGATGCCCGTCAGACTTGGCGACTGTGCAGTCGCGATCGCACTATCGCTCGGCAGTCGCCCTGCCAGCGCGATGGCTTCAGTAACTCAGCATTTTCTTGTACCTTTTAGAAGTGTTTTCTGTCGTATCATTTAGATACCCGTCAGGCTCAGCGATTGTACAACCGCCGAGTCTGACGGGCATCTCATGTCATTGGGGGAGGGGGGACATTCAAATCAGTGAGCCACTTACAGCACTGGACTAAGCCTCAGGGAGGGAAAGGGCTTCGGGAGAGGATGTGAGCCGATTGTGTTCTTCCTCGCGTTTCTGCCCTCCAATGAATGTTTCTTGAAGGTCAGGAACGTGGTTACTAGTGGCAATCAATGGAAAACAAAATGCTCGACAATTTTTGCTGAGGCTTCAGACGTTTCGCCGAATATGTTCTTTTAATTACTAGAGAGAAATGTTAGATGAAACTTACTCTATTTGAAGTAATTTTAACTAATTGTTAGAATATTTTTTTCTAAAACACCAAGGTAGCGCAAAGGCGCAAGTAAGGTAGCAACAACCACTTGGATAGTCCCTTATGGAAAACTCGTGTAGATGCTAGAAAAGAAATATGCTCTGCAGCAGTAGACTGCTCAAAACGATGATGTTATGGAGCATACATAGTTAGCGACCGTGCGATTAGGAGATAGGCGATGATTCAAAAGAAAATTATGCGTATCGATTAGGCGAGTAGGCGAGTAGGCGATAAGGGAAGGATACGTATTGATTTGTTGCTCCGCCCATTGAGCGATCGCCTAATCGCCTAATCGCACGTACGATCGCCAACTCTGAACGCTCTATTAGGCCTCAACGCTATCAGCCCGCCTCCCCTGAAAGCCTCGTCAGTGTATGCTCTTTTTGCGTCTCTCTTCTCTTGCTCTCTCGTCTTCAGGTCTCTTATCTTGACGTGCACTCTCCTTGTCGTGCATTCGTACAATAATCATAATTCGGTTATGGGCAGGTGGAGGAATTCTGTGGGTTTTCCACGTTTTTTGGTGTCTACCATCGCACGCATTGCTTCATCGTTGAATCTTACTGTTCCATCCTGTTATCGTGAAGAATATTGTTTTTGCTGAACTCAATTCCAACTTTAATCGTAATTGGCTTCGGTTGTGATGCTACAAAACTCATTTTTTGATCGTGTGTTCTTTGTGATACCGCTTGCCCAGCCGCTCATGTTCGACTTGCATTGTGTCCATCTGCTTTACGCATATCGTTGCTTCCATCTATAGCCGGCAGCGATCTGATCGATCCCGATTCGAGCGAGCGTTAGCCCGTTTTCGGCTATTTTTCGCCATTGTCGTCTAACATCGCTAGAAATTTCCAACGTCTAACACGTTTGATTTCAGGGTGCAGAGCCTCATAGCAGAAACCAGTTAGGCCTAGTATTCGAATAATTGAGTTCTTTCATGGCTATCTTCGCACTCTAGCCGTTCAGTACTGATTGTCAAGGGAATAGTAAGTTTTGTTCAGTTATTTCTCCAACTTTTCTCTATTTTTTCTTATAACGTCACTTGCAGAGAGAATGAGGGTCATTTGACGAGGTTTATAGGTTAATTATTGTGTGTCCTGTTGAAAAATGAGCAAGTTATAGCAGTTGTCGGAAAACCATAGTAGAATTGGTTCCTGTGGGCGTTTACCACACTGCTTTGTCGTCCCACTTTTAGTGGATTAGTATTTCGGGCGCTCACTTTTTAAGGGCTTCAGAATCTATTGAAATTCTGATAGCCACGAGACCGAAAATGCATGATTTGTACTTTCCAGTTTTTGTTTGTAAGGAAATTCCGTAGTGGATGAACTCTCGTTAGCAGATAGATTTAAAATGGTTTCCGTTCCCGTTTGTCACGCTGAATTAGGCGACAACATCTATTTCATATTTAAGAGAGATTCGCGACTCTTGAAGGGTGGTTTGGGTTAGGCTGTCTTATCTCCTATCAACTGAAATTCCCCGCAGCGCAATACATAACAACCTTCGGTACAAGCAGTGATAGAACCCTTTTGTTGACCCTGCTAAGACGTAGAATTCGTCCCTTTATAAATAGTTGTTTTCTCTTACAGAAGCTTTTTGTTCCACACATTTCTTATTAAATAAAAAATCTGATTCACATAGTTGAGGGAAGGGTATACTAGAGTACTGGGGAGTTTTTGCGTAGTGATGCCTAAAAATATTGTTGCACCAGTACTTGAAGTTACTAATGCAGGTAGTTTATTAGTTGGATCTATGTGTACCATATTGGGTGCCAACGTATAAGATTGACATGCAAGGGCGTGGCTAGCGTTTTTAAGTTTTGCCAGGGACATTTTGGTTGTTTTAACCTTCCAGTATAGCTGTGATCAGGCCCACGCATTGCGAGCTCGTGTGCATTGACAGTGAGTGTTGTGCAATGGTCAGTTGGGAGATGGCCAGTTGTGCAAACTCAGGGCTAGACTCGTTCTATGCGTTGCTGCCTTTTGTATATTATCTCCTACATGGAAAACAAAAGAAAAGTTCGCGAAGAACTTGCGATTTAAAGCAAAGTCTTCGCCGCATGATTTGTCGAGAGAAAGGCAAAAAAACAAAAACAAAATTATTGGATGTTATGGCACTGGTTAGCATGGTGCTCACAGTTAGGATGACGAAAGTCTTAACATAAAATTCGAGTGCATGCATCGAACTATGAAAGTAATTTTGTCGGAGACAATGGTTCCATGTTTGTTTTAAATTGTTTATGTAGTTTGCTGAGAGAAGATTCATACCAATTTTGCAACGAAATTGTTGCGCAAATGACCCATTGGAGCCGAATCGGTACATGCTCCTTCCCTAGCATATGGGCCTTCCTTGCGAGGCAAGCCCATGATGCTAGAGAAGATGAATGGGGGATTCCTTATAATCATCTCATTAGCATAGCTGAAGGTAAAGGTTATGGAGCCCCTTTGGTTGGATTTATGCTTTTGCCTAGACACTAAACTGGTTTTACGGTGCTAGAGAAAGAATAAATAATTGCAATGTAGTAATACTGAATTCATTATGTGTCAACGTCTCATGAAAGGTGGAGAAAGAAAAGCATACTATTGTATTTCGCTTGGCCAGCAGGGTCTTCACATCTTTCCCTTTTCTGCTTTGGAGCGCTCTGATACTACGTTTTTTGGGTGAAACTTCAGTTCGGGGAGGAGGGGGAGGCACTCCATTGAGCTCTCCAATACCAAGGATAAGGATAAGAGTTTTCATGACACGTAATCGATTCATTTAAATTACTTCTGATAAGGACCGGTGTAGTGTGGAAGTACTCCTAAGGTGCTTTCAGATTTTGGCCTGCTGTGGTCCAAGGAAATGGTCCTGGCTAGGGTATGGGCATCCTTTCCTAGGCGCAAGGGTGTAGCAGCCCAGGATGGACGATCATATGCCATAAACTGTCTAGGATGTTTTTGGTGGTTTTGTGATTTACGGTTGCTTTTGAATTTATAATAATTCTAAGTGTATTTATACTTGTTCGGGTACTCCATTTACCTAGGTAGAGCATTAATGATTATTTTTTTCGGTGCCGTTTAGGCTTGATTTCAACTTGGTCTCAGTTTAATCGAAAAATTTTCATTAATTAATCCTCAGACTAATTTTTGAAATTCTTCCTTATTTTTTATTTTTCAAAACCTACTCAATTCTCAACACAGTACTATTTTTCTAGTCGGGTCGTTCTTCCTATGACCGTGGAGGAGTATCAGGTTGGACAACTGTGGTCCGTGGCGGAAGCCTCCAAAGGCTGAAACTGGTGGTGGAGAAGGCGTAGAGGTATTATTAAAATGCCCTTTCTTCCCTAGCTGTGCGTATTAAGTTTTTTTTATTAAGGTCCTAAAAAATGAGCCTTTCGACGGTGTACCATTGTTGAATGGGCAATTTTGCAAGGGACAATATACGCACAAAATATATCATCTCCAATCGTAAGTCATTTTTTATTTCCAGTTAGAATGTAATGTTTCATATTCTTCTGGAAATCGTTCAGTAAGGATAGGCGATGTGGTGCGACAGTTCATATCGCATAAAGTAATCCGATTTTTCGCAGTCTCGCAGGGGAAGGAAGTTCCGGGCTGGGTGTGTAAGCGGAAGCGAGATGGTTCATGCATCCTGGAAATTTCCTAACCTTGTGGAAATTTGAGTTTCTGTAGGTGATAGCAACAGCCCCGTCTCTACTGGATGATACCCTTTTTGTTCGTCAGCTTTTGTTTCCACCTCATTTCCTTCTTCCAGGAAAGTCCCCACGATCATTCGAAAAATTGCCCCGAAAGGTTCTTTAGCGATCCATGAGGAGGCTTGGAATGCTTATCCATATTGCAAAACTGTTCTTACTGTAAGTAATTTTGTTATCGTTGTTTATTGCATGGTGTTGGAATTCCGTTTATAATCTATTGAGTCAGGGATTTTCGGCTTTTTTCCGATGAATTTCGAGATTTTTTTTCAGAACCCTGATTACATGAAAGAAAACTTCTTTATAAAAATCGAAACCATGCATCTTCCAGACAGAGGAGATACGGAAAATGTAAGCACATTGAGCCGTTATGTTTTCAACATGTCTCGACGTTTTTTGTAGTTGAAGTACGATGTGAATTTTAATCTAGGCTCACGGTCTTCCTCCTGAAGAATTGTCGCGAAGGGAAGTTGTTCACATTGACATTGCCGACGATAACGAGTACCTGCATGCGGGTGATATCAATCCTTCAACATGTCCAAGTACATTTGTGAGCTCGAAAACTGGACGGTATGTGAAGTGTTTGTAGTTTGTTTGTTTTTCATACTAATCAGTTTTCGAATATTTTGTTTCTTCATAGCTTCTACTAAGCTTTTTTACATATTAGCCAATTTTTTGAGGTATGTGGTGGCTTCATAGCTTCTATTAATGCTTTTCTCGACCGTACATTTTACATTATATAATCTCAATCGTGTCTTGTCCATTGCGATCGACGCCGTTCTGTAGCTCGAAACTCGTGCAGTACTAAAGCGTGAAGTGTTCACTAAATTCAAGTGGACTGCGAAATGAGTTTTTGCCAAAAAATCGAATCCCCAATGGTAGGTGGGTCGAGAGGGTCGTATTGGTAGATTCGGATTTTCCGTTCTTGCCTTCAGTCCTTGATAGAAGCAACATCAGGCCGCTCGCCTACCTAATTTTGCCAAGCTTTCTAGGAATAAACATATGAGTCGCCGAAGTAGATGAAGCTAGTGTTTCGACAAGTTTATTGGCATGATTCAACTAGGCGCAAATCTGCAGTAATGTCCGTCATTGCTTTACGTTAATTCTTCGCCTGCGCAGCATAGTAATTGCGAAAGAAAGCGGAAGCATTAGCGGGTGCTTCGTGAGCTTCAATCAAGAGCGCGCTTTATGTAGCCGTAAATGAAATGCCTTCCCGGTGTAACGAACTTATGAGGCTTAATGTAAATTTGTACGGCCATATCGGTAACTATAGCTGCCGTGAATAGGAAAGCTCTGGTCACCTCAGGGCTGTTCCTGACATATTGATATATTTCATTTACGCAAAGGAACACTTCTTCTTTATCTAGGCGTATCTGGAAGAAGAATTTCAGTGGCCCCTTGACTGGAGGCTGGATGGAAACTGTCGATCCTGTGATGTGTGCGTACAAGCTTGTTACTGTGCACTTCAAATGGTTTGGGCTGCAAAAAATGGTGGAGAGCTACACTCATACGGTAATTCGCTTGTTGTCACCAAGCTATTCAATTCTTTGAGATATTTTTAATACTTTTTTGTTTTCAGCAATATCCCCGTTTATTTTCAAAGTTTCATCGCGAGGTATTCTGTTGGATAGATAATTGGTATGGTTTGACAATGGCGGATATCCGTGCCATTGAGGCAAAAGCTCAGAAGGAATTGGAGGAACAACGGAAAAGTGGACAGGTTAATTTTCTCGCGTGAAATACGGATCGTTAGGTTTTCTCGTTCAGACCGACTTTCGTTCCCCATTAGGACTATCAGCCCGTTTTTTTCTTGTTCTTGCTTTCGTTTTCTTCGGAATATATTTTCGCAGTTATATGACCTTATCTTGTTCTTAAACTTATAGGTATGGATATTTCAGGTACGAGGAATGACCGCTGCATAACCTATAAGCTATATGTGCTCTGCCATCGTTATAGCCATCACAGGGCTGTTCTTGTTATTTTGAAACAAAACTCTGCTATTCATTTTACTTGATATTATTACAGTTTCTCACATTTAGTACCGTTTACCCCAGTGATTCATAGGCTTTCCGTGATTGATCACCATTTTTGTTTCTTGATTTTCTTCTCTCGTTGTGTCAACCCTTGCGCTTTTTATGTGTTCGACTCCTCATTTTCTACACTTGTGCTATGTGCAATGTAGGCATCACTGATCGAATTAATTTTTGCGTCAAGCAGTTTTATTTTTTTCTATTATATTTGAGAAGTGAAAGTTTTAGAGGTCTATTTCTTTTTAACATACAGTGATACACGAGTATTTTGTCGTTGTCGTACATGTTCTCTGTTGGGAATATTGATTTGCTTCGTACACGTACACTTCTTGACAGAACAAAGTACGACTCCTGTGGACCTAAGTGTACACTCCATTAGCGAGTGGGGTGCTTTTTAATCTGAGCATGGCTTGATTGGAGAGATTACGAGTGTTTTTGTCCTGGCATACATTTAATAACGAAACGAGCTTTTGAGGGAGCGAAATTAGGTAGAAGCTAATCTAGCCGGCTTTGAATTGGTCTAACGAAGTCGAGTTGAGAGCACTTACCACCGCATGGGGGAAATTCAACAGCTTGGTAACTTCACAGAAGTCGTGCTTTGTTCCTTGAGAAGTGTACCTCACTTCCAATTAGCGATTTTCTTGGATGTGTGTCTGTTCTTATTTGAATCTATGGTTTTGTTTCTCGTGAATCTGACAGACGCGTAACTTTGTAATTGAATGGAGCTGTTAGTTGTGAGTTTAGTGGATCAGATTTGATATAGTTTTTCTAACTCAAGCGATTCATACAGAGAAAGTTGTGTGGGCATGTTAGAAAGACTGGATTACATGAATGAAAGGAAAAAAGCTAAGGCTTAATAAAGGACAGCTGAACAAATGACAAGATTGGCCATAAAGAAGGCATTAGGCGATTAGCGCTGGTGCTTGATCGATTTGCGCAAAACGGAAGCGGTGAGGAGGGAGAGTGCATCGTTCATCACTAAGGGGAAAGCAAAGCCAGTATTTGCCGAACACTGGGAACTCATTTCCCCACGAGTGAGGTCATAAATACTGGCTCGAGAAACCCTCTTTGCCACTCTCCCACATCTCTCCGTCATATTGATGGGTGATGACGTCAATAGTGTCGTTGAAGGGAGGGAGCGGGGATGTAAGTGGACAGCAAATTCACCCCCCCCCCATGCGCTAGTTTCCCACGTTTCATTGTTCTCGCTGTGTCCCCAGATTGTGCTACGACTCATTTACTTCACCTCCCCTCCTTCAAATTATAAATACGACCCCTCCCTCTTTCACCAAGGCAAACACGACCTGTTGTTGAGGGATTCTCGGTCGTAGCTAACCCTGGCCAGAATACCTGAAAAAGGTATTCAATTAGGGGTAATTGGAGTGA